TACTGAAAAGTAAAATGCTCTGAGGTTATTTTCTGTCCTTTCCTCAGGGCAAGAAGGTCAAACACCAACCTGCTGGAGACGAGGAGCTCGTGTCTGCACGAGCACCGAGCCATCGATAGCGGAGCGAGCTACTGGGAACCGCTACTGGTTTTATATCGAGTTTCCAAAACCAGGGCAGAGACTCCCTCCCAATTTCAGCTCGCTCCGCAGAACTTTCAGGCTTATCTTTGGATGGTTTTGTCTCCTCGGAGGGACAGGAGACACTGGGCTGCCCAGTGCTACATGGGGTTCATCCCGCTCGGAGTATTTTGTGTCCAACAGCAAATTCGACCAAAACTGGGCAGTACCTGGCGGGTTGAGCTGCGCCGGGTGCTCCACAAGGTTTGTGATCCCAAAGTACTCGTCTCTCTTTGAAGATGTTCCACCTTTTCTAGAAAGGAGAGAGTTGGGCATCATTGCAAACCTCCCAGCCTGAATTCCTGTGTTCCCTTAAACGCAAGTCATGGGAAAAAAATAAAAATAACAACGCTTCCCTCGGGCCAGTCGTGGCGGGTACGCAACACACACAAATCATGGAATCCTGGAATGGTTTGGGTTGGAAGGGACCTCTAAGACCATCCAGTTCCAACCCCCTGCCACGGGCAGGGACACCCTCCACTACACCAGGTTGCCCAAAGCCTCATCCAACCTGGCCTGGAACACTGCCAGGGATGGGGCAGCCACAGCTTCCCTGGGCACCCTGTGCCAGTGCCTCAGCACCCTCAGAGGGAAGAATTTCTTCCTTAGATCTAATCGAAATCCCTACCCAAAGCATAGATCAGAGCCAAACACACCACCAACTTTGGGCCAAAAAGGGTAAATCCCTCTCGCTCCACCGTGGTCACCTTCTCAGTGGCTGGAGGAACGCTGCCTCCAACGAGGGAGAAGGGGCAGCTGCTACCACCATTCCCTCAAGAGAGACTTTGGGAGCAAACTCAACGGATACCCCCTGCCCCGAGGAGCTCCTCGAGGTTCCTCCCGCAGGAGAACGACCAGAACCTGGCAAGTCCAACACTTACAAGTCAAGGCCGTTCGGGATGATGTAGGAGTCCCACCACTCGATCTCCGGGATCTCCCCCTCCTTCAGCTCCTTTTTCGGGGTGATAAGAGCCAACTTGGTGGAAGTGTGTATCCCTGTCTTCCTGGCAGCCTGAGAGATCTCTGCCTGCAGTTTTTCTAGTTGAGCCTGAGGAGGAGGAGAGGAAAACGGCACGCAAAGGTAATTCCGAAACAGCACAACCTTCAGGAGAAGCACAACACGTAGGGACCTGCTGATTTTTGTGTTATTTTTAAACCAACCCGAAGCAGCAGAAACCACACAGCACATGATGGTGCAGTGCTTTTGCAGAAGGTCACAAACCTGCCCGAAATCTGGTCTCATTCCTGAGCCTTCTAGGAGCACGGAACGATCCCAAAGGAACATCTCCCCAGGCATCGTATCCCTGCACTTTTCTAGTCTAAAAGCTCTTCCCTCCTCTTCTCCCCAAAAACCCGGGCATTTCACCAAGATCCCTTTCAATCTCCACCTCTAGGGTGCTCGCTCCAGTGGAAAGAACGCTCGGCCAGAAAGTGATCTATTCTCTTTGGAAATTTTCAATCTTTTATCCAAAAAAAAAAAAACCTCAACGAATTTTGCCTTTCATCAAGTGAAGCCAGCTGTCTGAAAACTCTTTCCATACGCGTGCTCGAACTGGGATGCCTGCCTTCCCAACAGGAATCGTGTTGACACCAAAGTTCCAGGTGACTTTACTGAAAAGCTCCGTGGTCGAAGCCAAGGCGGCTTCCCTTCGCATCCCGGGAGAGGAGAATCGACTCCCACCCCAAACCAACCCCTCGTGTCTGTGCTGCCAGCCAGCATGGCACGGCCTCGAGTACCTTCGTTCGCAACCTCTGGGCAATTTTCTCAAATTTGCCTTTTTCGTGGAACTTGAAGGTGCGTTTCTGACGCTGGGCTGGCGTAATGGAGACCCGGGGGTCAAAGTACGTGTTGGACTCCATATCTTCCGAGGGCTTTTCCTTGAGCTGCTGCTTGAACTGCTCCCTCTTCACGGCTCTGATGTTCGCTTTGAGCGTCGGCATGCGGTGAGTCAACTCGATCTCTTTACCGGTCGCGTCAACGGTTCGGCCTTGCTCATCCAGGATCAGCGGCGTAGGCTTCGTCTGATCCTTCAGCTCCACTTTCCTGGTGGCAAGACAAGACACGGGGCATTAAAACGGAGTGTTAATTCCAAGGAAACGCGAGCCTCCTTTCCATGGTAAACCTCGCAGGCGGGAGTTGGGAGTCGTACCCAAGAAGAGAGTAACCTCCATTCCACCTCTTTAATATAAAACAGGACAGGGGGACAAGGGGAAATGGCTTTAAACTGAAAGAGGGGAGATTTTGATGGTATATAATAAAGAAATTCTTCCCTCTGAGGGTGGTGAGGCTCTGGAGCAGGTTGCCCGGAGAAGCTGTGGCTGCCCCATCCCTGGCAGTGTTCCAGGCCAGGTTGCATGAGGCTTGGAGCAACCTGGTGTAGTGGAGGGTGTCCCTGCCCATGGCAGGGGGGTTGGAACTGGATGGTCTTAGAGGTCCCTTCCAACCCAAATCATTCCAGGATTCTGTGATTCTATGAAAATTTGTTCCTTCGGCAGCCGCTAAGGCCCCTGCTAGGGAAGCGACAGCGCTGGAGAAACCTCTGCTCAGACCCTCCATCAGCATTCCGGCGTTACGCCCGCCGGGATTTGGCCGCCAAGGGCGGGTACTCACGGCGGTGCGATCCCCATGGCGTGCAGGTTGGCCAGCCCCACCATGTTGGCGTTGCCGATGAGCCCCGGTTTCATGGCCAGCTGAGCCTGGATCCGGGCCTGCAGCTCCGCAGCTTTCCTGGCTTTCTCGATGGCGTCGTTCATGAACGTCGCCGCCTGAGAGGGCTGGATCGTGTTGCCGATGGGGAGACGTTCCGATTGGGACGAAGAAGAAATTTTTGGCTGTTGACAGAGAAGGAAGTTTCGTTAGGCGCCTGCTCCAGCGCGCCCAGGTCAACGTGTCGCGGGTGAAGCGGGGACCACGGGATCTGCCCGTTGCTGCCGGGAGGTACCTGTGGTGCTGGAGGACTGATGAAACTCAGCTGTTTCTTCCTCTCTTCGATCTGCCGGGTGGCTGCCTCCATCATCTGTTTGATCTACGGAAAGAAAACCGGACAGTGAGTTTTCCCTCTGTCAGGAGGAGGGAAGGGGTCCTCAGCACTCTCTTACAGCTGCAAACCAGCACAGAATCGTATCAAACCACTCTAACCAGCAGCCTCCAGCTGGAGAAGGAATCTAATGGCCCAGGCACTCTCAACCAAGACCATTTACTCCAGCTTATGTGAAGAGAACATCCAAGTTTTCCTCACCCGAAGGCCCCACGCCACCGCTAGCCTAACGCAGTGAGCCTCGTGACGGGAACGCAACGACCGCAGCAAACGACGGACCGTCCAAAGCGACGTGCCGTTTGCTTGCCCAACTCGTGACACGAATTAAGATGGAGCAGACACCAAACCACACCGGGATTCAAGACCTGGAGCACGGGCAGCTCCGTTCCGGGGCCGAGCGCGTGTAACACGGCCCGGTTAGACTGACCTGTAGCTTGGTCAGCATCCCAGGGCTCTCCGACGGCGGGCCCGGAATGACCTCAGGCTCATCCTCAACCTCCTCGAATCGCGGTATGCGTCGCTTCTTGACGCCGGAGGATTCCTTGGATACCTCAGAGTCGTCACCAAACACATCCTAACGTAAAAGGGGAGAAGGAGAAAACTGTGGTTACACCCAAAGAACCCTCCTCGCAGCCGGTGAAACCACGTGGCTCGGGTCCAGCACGGCACGGTCAGCGCTGCGTTGTGGTTCAGAGTTTCCAGGGTGGCACTTGCAGGCTGACCTACTGGTAATCCCACGTGAATACTGGTAATCCCACGTGAATACTGGTAATCCCACAGGAAACCTGTGTCCTGGTCCCCACCAGAGAAGCATCAGTGACGATCCATGCAAGAGCATGAAGGACAGGAGACATGACAGGGATGTGCCTGTGTGAAACCGTTCTCTCAGGCGGCCGAAGGTTTTTTGGAGACGCAAGGTCTCGCTCAGCTACCCGGAGAGATGGCAAACAGCCTGCCCACGCGCCGACCTGACTCGGCTAAACCAGTTTCCACATCTTCCACCAACTCGAGAGGGTTTGGTGAAGGACGCTGCGCTGTCCTACCACGTCCTCGCCAAACGGAGGACGCAGCCCCGGGTCGGGACACCAGCGGCGTTCCCTCGCGCTCCGACCCGGCCCAACTCCAGCTGGGATCCAAAGACGCCGCGCTCAAACGGAGCCGCTCCGAAGGGCAGCTCCGAGCACAGGCAGAGCAGCGACCGCGCTGCCGGACCCGAGGGTCGCGGAAGAAAAGGCGAGGTGGGCTTTAGGCAGAGCCCTGCCCTCGAGGAGCTGGGAGAGCCTGCCACCAGGGAATTCCTCGAGTTTTGGGTACGGGAAGCTGGATTTGCTCATGCGGCTGCGTTACGGCAGCGTGTGTGTGTCAAGGTGTTATTTGAAAAGAAAATATACACACCGGTTGTAAGCGTTAGTTGCAATCCCTTCTTCACTATAACGGTTCATATTCTACAAGGACACTTCCTCATCCAGACACAGGTACTTCTTGGAAAACCTACAAGTTCAAGAGAAAGGACTTGCCCATAGTATAAAGTGTGTAAACCGTTACGTTTTAGTTCCTGAAACTTCCCAAGCAACGACCTACCCCACGAGAGCTAACCGAGGAGCGAGGCGGCGGGCCGGGCCGCGCGCTGAAGGTGGCCACCGTGGCCAGTAAGCAGCGTTCCCAATTAGCCGGCTGCTCCTTGGTGCAAGAGCTACGTCTGCGAGTACAAACTCGGATGGAAAACCTGCGCCGGGGTGAGGAGGGGAAGCCAGTCTGCGAGGATGACCGTGACCTGACGACCTCACTAGACCATCTCGTGTTACAGCAGGGTCAGCACAGCTCCAGATCCCGATGGAGGACCTCCAAGAAAGGGAATTCCGGAGAGAGGAGGTGGCGATTTGGCAGGCGGGACGCCTGTCCCCACGCCAGGAGCCAAGAGAAGCGGATAGGTCCGCTCCGCCGCTTCCCAGCACTGCTGCTGGGTTAGCTGGGAAGCCCAGAACACCGCCGGCCATCCGCGGTCACACGGGACGCCCCGCTGGAGAAGAACCACCAACTCCATGACCAGCCCCATCCCTGCTCCGCTCTGCCAGCACAAGATTCCCTCTGGGACAGAACGCTGCTCCCTCCCCCAGTCCTGCAGCGCACTGGTCCCAGCCACGAGGAAGACGAGAGGATGAGACAGCCCAAAAACGGGCACAACCCGAATTCAATTCCTGAAGAAAGGTGGGATCTACGTGCACCAGCTGCGCCACGGGGCTGTGGGATTCACCCCACCGGGCTGCAGCCGCCGCGAAGCAACGCGGCGCGACGGGAATGACGACGTACCTATCCCACCATCATCCTCACAAAAGGTGGAAAGGCAGGG